GAGTTTGGAGGAGAGGTTTGTAAAGGAGGTTTAATTTCTTTGGATATAATTTTTGGTTTCTTGCTTTTTGTTTATTTTTTTTTTTCCTAGGTTTTATCGTGAATGTTAATTTACGCAATTTTTATTTCTTAAGGGAGTATATAAATGTAAAAGAAGAAGAAATAAAGGGAAGAAACGAGGAGAAATCAAGATATCGTATATTTATTGGATCTTACGATTCTGTTCCTTAAGAAATTCTTTGATTTGAGAATATTTCAAGCGTGTAAAAAATAACAGAAATTGGATCAAATTATAGACGAAGCAAATAGAATCGTTTACTTCAATTTCCATATAAATTCTATCCACCTATAGTGAAAGAGAAACGTACAATATATATGTAAATCACAATTATGAATGCTCAAAAACGCGAAGGATGATAAGCCGGAAGAAAACCACAAAAATGATCCATCTACGTACAATACAACTCCGAAACCTCGATCGATCCCCGCTCCAAAAGAGACAAAATCGCCCGTTTCCCGGCAAAAATCTTGATCCTGACTAATAACCGTGATGGGGGAAAAATGGCGGCGTGCGAAAGAAGCGAAGACCTCGTTTGCAAAAAGGAGAGAAACGCGCGGGGTGGTTTGATCGATGATGTCAGAGAGGAGCGGAAAGGATGCGCGTTATCGACGCGTGCACGTGCGCTGGTATTCCGCAATTAAGCCTCCACCGTCTTCGCTTTTTCCCTCCTCTCGGGGAAGGCAGAGGACTAGTGATGGGACCAAGCTCAACATGTATATATATATACACATATATATGTACATAAATCAAATTCCATTTCCAATATTTTCACCAAGAAGCAAGATAAATAACGAAGAAGCAAGATAAATAATAATGATCCATTTGTTTCTTTTTAAACCAATCTGGAGTATGCTTAATAATTTCGAATAAAATTTATGAATACATAAATTTCGTCGAAAGATGTACAACATTTTTTCGAAGAGGAGAAGTAAGATTTTTCGCGCGAGATTGATTTTTCCATTGATTGAATTCGATTCAACAATTTCTTCCTTTCACTTTTGAAAGTGCTCTCTCTATCGGAGTATCGACGTCCGCTCGAACCCATCACTACGCAGCACGTGCACGGGCACCAGCTGGCGCGCTTGAACACCAAGAGGGAAAAAAGAAGGGAAAAGGATCTGTGTATAGCAGCCACCCGATCTCGCCGTCTCGCGGAACAGTTCCGCGATAAATGATAACCGCTTTAAATACCAGTTTAGCGCGTGTATAGAGTTGAGAGGCGAGTGCACGCCCCGGGGATATGGGATCCCCTCGATCTTTCGATCATCCTCCTTTTGGGGGGAATTTATCAACGGTGTCAAGCCCCGCGATTCGTGGACAGGAAGGACGCTCGTGCCAAGCTGGAAATTCGATTCACGCGGATCGCGTGCCGCGATCCCGAGCTTCTGATTACTGTTGTGGGAGAAAATCTATCGTGGAAGGCGTTGAGTAGATAGGATTTGATATCTGGAATTTTTATACAAAGCGCTTGAATCCGCGCGTGTAAAGTGTTGAAGATTGCTTTTATTTGATCAAAGGAGAGATTGTGAAATATTTCTTACCTCAAGTGTTATCTCTTTCAAATTACTTCACACTCGTTCGAACTCTCATCCCTAAAATATGCACAAATCAACATCTCTTTTCAATTTTCCATCGTTTCTTCTATACACATTTCGCCTCTGAAATTCTATAAGCACCGAATAACAACAGCAAGCCAATCCTCTTAGTTAATTCTCGAAACATTCCATACGTACTCCGCTATCTTCCCCATCGTGAAATTCCTTCGATCGTCGCATTAATAATCGACTCTACGATGAACGAGTTCGAGGGCAAGTTGGAAAAAGTGGCGATAGCGGAGTAATTAGCTGGAAGGTCTATTAATCGTGTCCATTAAGGCTCGGAGGGAGCCGATTCGAAACGTTCGCGGTATCGACACGCTTCAACGAGAAACCGACGTTCCGTTGTCGGGATGATTTTTGCAAAGAGATGGTCGGATGATATTAGAGAAGCGAACGACTCGTGCAACGTCTTTCTTTTTACAGCTCCTCCTCTTCTCCTCTTTCTCCTTCTTCTGCGACGAAGGGTAGCTGGAGAACAGGATGTACTCTCAATAACGGTTCGTTTGCTATTCGTTTAAGGTCGCTCAAGTTCGGCTCCTTTTACTTAATATCGATGAGATATGGATCAGAGTAAGCGTGATCGTTCGATTGTATTCTGTAATTGCTTTCGAATTCCACGGTGCAAAAGTTTGATTCGATTCGGAGAGATAAATGGAAGATTCGTTCAAGAGTTAAATTTTTTAATCGATGAAATTTGATATATTGGATTGTTGGCTAAATGCAAATATTGATTAAAGAGGAATTTTTTTGGATGTTGTTTTGTGAAGTAAGAGTAAGTAGAAACAATGAGGAGTTAATAAAGTGTGCAGTTTTGTAATCAATCTTTTTTGACAATTTGAAAATTTTTTTTGAAAATTGGCAAGTCAAATTTGAAAAATTGGCCAAAAATTGAGAATAAAGTAAAGATTTATCGTGAAATGCACGATATATATATATATATAATTTTTATATATATTCCATACGCTTCGAAGGAGGAGAAAAAAATTGGGTTAATCCTTGAATAAATTTTGTAAAATAAATAAATGAAATAAATTTCTTGAATGGAGCTTATTACAGGAAGAAACGGTGCGTGTTTTGTTATTTTCTGAAGAAAGATCGTAAATTACGAGGTGCCGGTAAAATTTCTCTGTATATAACGATTTATTAATGAATCATCGATGCTTAGCAATGTTTTTGCACATTGTGTATCCAATTCTGTAGCGTAGAACGCGATGAATAATGTGTCTCCATTTCCGTGAACCGTGTTAACGATGTAATGATTTCTCCATATATTGAATGATTGCGATTATTTTTACAAGTAAAAGAAAAAAAAAATATCCTTTGGATGACTGTATTAATAATTCTTTGCAAGGTAGATTAATCTTATTTGAATTGCGATTCTCTTTTGAAATATTGAAATGATATACGATGTAAGATAAGGAAAATGAAAAAAAAAAAAAAGAAAATTAATTATCGAAATTATTATCAGCACTGTTTCTGAAACGATGAACACTTGATGCATCTGTAGAAAGTAATTAATATTGAAGTATTAAATTCTAAAAATATGAATTAATAATGATAACAGTTATTCCTACAGTAAAAGCTAAGAACTGGTATATATACTTTTTTAATATACAAGTTTACAAGGTTAATGGACAATGGATTACTTTGTTTTATAAAACAAGTTTTTGTTCTTGGATAACTACAATCATCCAATTTTCAATATATTTGCAAATCATATAAAATTAATAATGAAACCAAGTATATTTCATTTCTATATCTCTCATTCAATTCATTATCCAATAAATTCTGAAGAATCATATTTGTACGAGATGACTAAATAACTATGAGGTACAAATTTACCATAACAAATATAGAAGAAGAAAATAACGTTGAAAGAAACATGGATTCATTAGTCCTAGTTTCTTCGGATGAGACAGCCAGTTTTAGATCCATCCGTTACTTCTTAATAAATGTTCCATCCTATCCTCTTGTATTCGCGTGGGGAACAATCATAATAATCGTGCATTCGTAAATACGTGTTATCGAGCGTTTTATGGTTTCGAGTTATCCATCGTTAATTTTCTATTGTAATTGTACCATGTGTGAATCGTCTCTCTGTTGTTTTTACGATATTCGAAGATGTCTAGTCTAGAAACGAAGAAGGATAATGATACAGGCTTGGTATACATTGCAATTGCACGTAGAAAGTGTTCATTGTACAATTTAACGTAATTAGTATTATCATTGGATGATTATTGTTATTATCAAGATTAGAGAAGCTTTTAGTCATTCATAATCTCGTCAAACTTAAGAGGACAATATGTAAAAATAACATTAATAATATATAATACAGAGATTCGAAGTGATTATTGACAATGATGGACGTTCGAATTTTTTCGAACAGCTGAATGTTACAATAAAAATCGTATATACTGATTACACGAGTAACCAGAGAAGACCTACTTTGCTTCAAAAAAAAAAAAAAAAAAAGAAAAGAAAAAAGAAACGAAGAATTTTCTTCGTTTAATCAAGCGAAATAACCAATTAAATCCTCGAACTTTAATCAGAAGCCAATGCAAACTTGCATATTTCTTTTGGAATGCAATATATCAAAGAAGCCTTTACGTTCCTCCAAAGTAACAACCGTACAACCATAACGTTACCAACTACTGAAATCATTAACCCTTTGACTGCTATTAGCGCATACAAGGTACTCGACAAGACGCCTCCAGGCACTCGACACGTCGTGGCAGAATCTGTATATAATCGTAAAACAGTTCAAATAAAACCGTGTCATAAGTTTACTAAAGATAATCCACTTATTAACGAAAATTGGCCCAATTTCGATCTCCCTCCACTCGTTTAAGTGCAGGTGTTGCTTTTATGGCGGAATTCTTGGTCGAAGGCGCGCCTTCGAACGTTTGCGTGGGAGTTGTTCGTCTAATTGTGGATCGTTAAAGGAACGAGCCTACCGCCGCGAGGCTGTTGCAAGCGAGATTCAAAATCGTTGGCGTTTCCGGTGAACGAGCAACGCGTTTAACCTCGATCCAAACTGCACTTGCCTTCCTTATATCTGTATAGGTGTGTTATAATGCATTCGTGAGAAAATCTATCTTGATTAAGGCCGAAATAAATATAGAAATTTCGATCGATCGCTTGTTTGTTGTAAGGGAATTGAAGCGGTTGCATTGGATGAAGCGAGATGGAGATAGAGATGGCGCTGTGAACTGTCTCACTGTCTCCATCTCGTTTTATTTAACGCGAATTAAAAAATGAATTCTCGTGAATGCATTATATATTAATATCCTGTATATTTCTATTCGATATTGTTAATTCATTTGTTTCTTTTTTTATTTCTAGTGGGATACGTTTACGGATTTTTCTGGATAATAATGGAATCGATGTCATCCCAATTTTCAGTGATATAGAATAAGGTGAGTTTTAATTGAAATATTTGTTGAGAATAATTTGAGAATGATTTAGAAACAATTTCTTCGTGATAAAATCGATGTGATGGTAAATTAATTAAATAAAATTGTATAGTCTTTTTTAATAGTGAGAAAAAATTAATCCCATTAAGAGAAATTTATCGTTTTTTACTAAATACAAACTATTACTATAATTTCGGTAAAAAAATTTCCTTTAATTGATTACATTTTAATAAAAAATTGCACCGAAAAATGAAAACTTAATGATGTATAATTTCATATTTTTATATTTGGTCAATTTTTTTATGATATTTTTTTTGTAGACAAACGGCTATTAGTTACTGATTACTCATAGTAGATTCACACTGTGAAAGAATTTATCAATTTTGATGACTCCCCAATTTCGCCTCGTTCTTTATTTTTTTTTTTTTCTTTTTTTATTTAGTTTTACTATAATCTTCTGATTTCTTACAAGAAATAAGAAGAATCATGCCGTGTAAGCATTTTTCAACGCTGATGACTTTCGAAATTCGCCTGTTTTTACGTTATCCCTTTCTTTATTTAAACGAGTACAGAATAGCTAATTTGAATTTTCGTTTTTTTATGCACATACGCGAATAAAATCGGACAGGGCAAGAATTTTTCATTCTCAAGAATTTTCAAAACATATCTGTTTTTATCGCTAATCTTCTTTTTATTTCCCTCATAATCGTTCAGGTTCTTCAGATTCATTGAATTATATTGTGAAAGATGGTTTCTCTTATTTATACTGTTTCTTACATCTCTAACTTTTTACAACATATAAAATCCCACTATATGGAAGAATTTTTCAAACTTGATGGACGTTCTTTTACCCGTCTTATCCATCATCTATATTCTTAGAAGATACGAGATACGAAAAAATTTTTTTTTAAATTTTACGATTAATTTTTATATTAGCAAGAAGAAACAATAATACAAAAGTCAGAAGAATTTCATTTATATTTAATATTCTTTAGATTTGGAATATTGATTAAAGAAAATAACTCGAAGAAAAGATCATCTTACAAAAAAAAAAAAAAAAAAATTGCCAAATTTTCTTCCAATTCTCTTTTCCACCTGGACAGATGGACACAATGCATCGATGGTATCGTGTAATGGCCCAATTATTTATACACATTACTCTTCCATCGTTATTGCGCGTACACGCATAAACAGCTCGTTATATTAATACAATTAAGTACAAAGGGTTCTGCAAAAGGAAGGAAACAGGGCATATATACGAGCATCACCATATCCACGAGTAGGAGAACCTGTTCTTCGACCAGACGTTACAGATGAATCGTTAATTGAGCACAATTCTTTTTACGGACATGGCAACAAGTCCCTACGAATCGACTGATATTTTACTATTTTTGTGTCTTTGTTTCCGTAATTGCTCGTGTTTTTTTAGTTTTTTTTTTAGGAAATGAACGAATAGAAGTTAAAAAAAATATTGTACATGAGTGAGGAATTAAAAAGCATATTAATTTTAATAACAATAGATACAGAAAATGTATTACAATGGTAATGTTGCAAAAAAATAATTTCTTCATATTGTTTTTTCCATAATAAATATGGAAGAATATAAAAATATAATTTCAGTGTGATTATGAAGGTGTACTATGAAGGTATGGATGAAGATATGAGAAATAAAAGGAAATTAATATTAATTTTTATAATGATACATTGCAACAATGATCTTGCATAGTTTTTGAAATTAAAATGTTGCAATTTGAAAAAAATATAAAAATATAATATATTTAAATAAATATGTGGATGAAGATTGAATAAAAATGTTCAATTATAAATTTTCATTTGAAGAAATACTTTGGAGATTTTATCAAAATAATAGGATATTGTTAGATCAACGATTAATTGGTTTTTTTTTTCTATTCATTAGATCTATTCTTTAACTTATTTTGGGGTTGCACGAAGGGTATTTGGAACAAATCTAAAAATAAAGAATATACATATCACGATTTAGTCACTACAATTACACGACCTAGATTCCATTATACTGCTATGGGATAAATTGGATAAGAGAAGCGAGGAAACGCAATTTAGCCTCTAAACACGCCTCCAGGAATTATTACAAAATAACTGGATGAATATTCTACACAGAAATAGTTTATAATATCAAATATAGTAATTGAGAAGAATATAATATAAAATAGTTTAAATAATTTTATAATTTCAAATTAGAAATAATTATACTTTTAAATAATTTTTTAATTTGAAATATCTTTCCATTTAAAGTTCCAGTATTTTGCAATTGAACAACCCCCTCTGATATACCAAAATATTTCCACGTTCAACAGAATGTAGGTCACAAGAAATATAATGACAGCTCCCAAAATTGCAAAGGGCTTCAGTTTAATGTTACCTGTCCAACGTTAAACTTCTATCAAATTTTAAACCCTTTTCTCCAAAAGCATGGGATAAAAGAAAAAAAAAGAATATAGGTGAGTAGTCGAGACCAGATTTTACAATTATATACATATAATATGCATCTAATATATGCACTAAATGATGCATTTATAAGTAGATGCATATTAATGAAATTTAAAAATTATTTTAAATTATTTTTAATTTATACGATAATAAATAAATGTTAAAATTGGTGGCCAAAAAAAAATTTTAATGATATTTTTAAAAATATTCAAAAATCTTTTATCTAAAGTATTAGGTGAGTTTATTTTATAAATTTATTAACACAAGACTTTTAAATAAGACTTTAAATTGAAAAATTTTATTTTATCGTGGATACCACCAATTGCAGGACACTTTCTATCTAATCCACCAATATTATTTATAATATTTTTTTAATAAATTCATTAGATAAATTTCACATAAGTAGATCAGAGTAAATAAAGTTACAGAAATGAAAAATAAAATCACACATTTCATTCACTCGATAGTTGTATCCGATCAGAATATTTCCCATTCAAACGTAGCCACGTTTATGTTCCACTGAACTACATGAACTGTAACTATAATTCCCTCCTTAGCGCAGAATATATCTGATATTATTAAATTACGAGACACAGATATCGCTCGTTATTTTATCAATGTTCGCACATTTTTCAAATGTCTCGCGCCCGTTCAAAAGATCGGGAAACCAGTTTTCAAAATCATAAACAGCTCTGATTCGCCATTAGCCGGTGACTTACATTCCAACGAGACCTCTAGTGTCTTTGCCCATTAATTACCGAACGACCGGATGTCTCGTAATCGTCGGCATTAAAAAATTACAAAACAGCCTTCCTCCTGATCGAAACCTGTTTTCAAAATCATAAGCAGGGTCAGTGCTTGGCTTCCATCGAGTTCCACTCGGATCTTCAGTTTCTTCTTCCATTAACTATTTAATGGAAGATTATATAATAAATAATAACATGGAGATACGTATATTATTGATTTTATAGCATAATACTCGAAACAAGTTTCCAATTGTAGGTAAAACCTTGGAACGGATTCGAGGAATTTTGTTTGTAGGAAAAGAAGATGTAACACTGTGTTCAAAGTGTTTTCGTTGAAATTGTTCGAACGAATTTTTTCCCGCAATTTTAAAGCAATAAATGTGTGAAAAAGAATCTTCGTTCCACAAGAAAGTGATAGAAAAAAGTGATAAATATCGAAAAGATAGATAGTTTTTCTTAAAATATATTTTCAAGATAGAATTTTTAATAAATTTAATTTAATATTATTATTAATTCTACCAGTTTATAAAATTTACGAACCGTGACAATTCAACGATGGCTGCGTCCGTTTTTCATACACGGTTTTCCATTTTTAATCGAATTCTAGGAATTGTTGAATTGTAAATAAAAGTATAATTTTAACGTTTATATATATATATATATATATATGGTCTATAAAATTATACAAATAGTAAGAACATGGTACACGTAATAATAACTAACGAACATAATAGTTAATAATGTCGAAGCTCGGTTATGATCGTGAAATAATAAAGGTTATGGATATTCTAAATTATTAACTTCGTGTCTGATTTCACTTCGATAAATAAAATTTCTTAACGATCGATCGCGATGCATTTTAAAAAATAAATTACTTTCTTATTATCTTTAATCAAGTTATATCTGTACGTAGATAGGGTTGAAAAGAAGTCTTACTCTTGAATCTTTAATAATTTCCTGTTTTCGCAAGGAACAGTTTTTTTATTTAATTTAAATTTAATTTTTAAACGTTCAACATATCTTGTTTCATAACAAGTGTGATATATTAATAATATTAATTGAAGAAAACGATCTATTTATATATCGAAGAAATATATCTTTTATCAAAATCTTGCATCAAATTTTTGATACAAGAAAGAATCTATTCGTGAGATTTCACGAATTATAATTTAAACATGGAATTCTTTCCGTTTTATTAATAATCTTTTCAAACATTTCAAACAAAAAAAATTACACACGATAATGTAACACAATTATTCAAAATCAAAAAAGAATTGCAGTTAATTAATACGTCATTGTCCATGATGTACGAGCGTGAAATTCAAGCAAATATGAATTATAGCAAATTTAAATCCGATATCGTAAAGAATTCCATTCTATCAATACAATTTTTTTGATGTATATGATCGATTTCTATTTTCTTATCTCCAATATATCACACCATTCCGCATAAACGCATAAATTATGAAATAAACGAGGAATTCCAGTTTGTAGCAACGTTCCAACATTTTCCAACCATATCCTTCCAAGTTCTGTATTTCTACATTAATATTTAAATACTTGACAGAGATTAAATGGGAGGAAAAATGGTAATATCATTAAGTATATAATTTATGTTAGAATTGCAGTTTGCTGGGCTTTAATCGAATCCCATTTTTCTCTAAATCTTATACGTTTAATTTGAACACTTTGTAAAAGTGAGAAAAGTTTATTGCGGCATATGATTTTCAAGGTTACGGTATATGGAGTCAATTCGCTATTACATGCATTTTGATTGAATTATGTATTTATCATTAGCCATTTTGCATTTTAATTATTGTAATTGTCAGTTTCTTCAGCAATATATTTTTAAAGATTATAAGATACTTTATTTTTTTTTTTTTTTTTTTTTTTT